ATTAAATGTCATGCTAAAACGTGCATTTATAATAATATTTTGTGATGTTACTGTATTGTACTATATTTTTATGTGATTTTGAATCCATAGACGTGTATAATTTAAAATCCGTTTTTTTTTGAGATATTACACTTTAGTACTAAGGCAGCGATATCCAAATATAGTCGTTTTTTCACAGATCCACCCTACTAACGAACTAACAAACGTATGCGTTTTTTACGTTACTTTTGGGACACACTATATATCGGATATATCAATATTGGATGCACTATTGCCAGATCGGATATATCAGACGGTTTAAATCATTAGTTTTCTTTCAATGTAAATGTATGAAAAATGCATTATACTTCTTACCTTTTTGCTTAAGTAGACCACAGTTTTTTATAGTTATTCTTGTTTTTAAGTATACTAATATTTTTAACATTTTTTACTTTCATTAATTTTTGGAATAGATCTTACCTAGTTTTTTAGGGCTTTCTTTTTCTTTTGAACCAGATCGATATATTTATATATTGATAACTAGATATATTTTTTAAACATAATTAGACCTTATACCCAACATCAATAACACCTAGATCAAATTGACGATTTCCTTGTTACATATACTATGTAATTATTTGCTAATACCGATAGTTTGTATGAAAAATTGCACTTATTGCATATTTAGTATGATTATTGCACAAGAATAGGCTGCATTAATAGATTACAACGATTAAATCTTGTCATAAAGATCTCGTCCTTGATTACGCAAGCCGCCATCAGTCACTACCGTTAAATACTTTTTCATTACAGCAATCCTCTAAAAAAATGGTAAACTGATCTATTATGTATATGAGAGCTATTCTGTCGTTTTGCAATGTAATACATGCTTGATGAGTGGAATTCGGATTTTTATATCGAAATATTTCTTTAGCAAATACAAAAGGTAAATATGTAGTAATCACTGCAGTAAAGTTGGGTTTCCATAGAAATATATAATTATAACGAAAGTTTTTTTACATATTATGTTGCCACTATTTTATAAAGTATTATTTGAAATTTTTTTTCTTTATAAATGCGCAACAACAGCATATGATTTGAAGATGTGTTGCGAGCACATATTTTAGACTTTTAGAAAGAAATTAATGGTGAGTAAATATAAAACGGAAAGTTAGAAACTAGGTAGTATTTAATAAAAGTTATAGCCGTAGGTATAGTAATTATTATTCCTGAGCATGTGTTGTTACCATCGAGTTAGAATCTATGGAGAGGGCATCACGTGACTAAAAACGACCTAACTTCGGCCATATTGGTATTATTGTTTTGAAACTTTTGACAGATCGTATATGTTTGGTTATATTTGTTGTTTTTCGAATATTTTCAGTTTTATAATAATTTTATAGAAACTGTAATATATTGTGATAGTGCATAATAATGGGTTCTTGTTCTCAACGTAGTTGCAGTAGCAGAAGTAATGTTAATAAAAAATCTTCAGGAATATCGTTCCACAGGTTAGTATACAAATATGTAAACAAAGTAATGGCCCGTACTTCAGAGAATAAATTAATACTATTTGACTGTATTAATTTATCTTTATATATAATATATCGTGTTTTTAGTGTTTACCGCGGGATAAATAAATCATAGTTTATTAAAAATGTATTGCACTTTTTTAGATTATGATTAAATCTTTTAAATAACTAGTCATATTTGTATAGTAGTTTTATTATTATTGAGTCTGGCCCTGATGTCACCGCCATATTGGTATTATAGTTAGCCACTCCTACCTATGCCGTTTTTAATACATACGTTAATATGCTCATAGCTTCTCCATAGATTCTAACTTGATGGTTGTTACTCAATGTATAAATAAAATCTCTATTAAAAAGTTTGAAATGTCGGTTTGACAATGTTTTAATTTTCACTTAATATACTGATACAAAGATGCCTGGACGTCAATCAAGATATATACGCATGTTTTATTGACTATAATAAAGCATTCAATAAAGTACGATATAAACAACTAATGAATATCAAATTTATACTATAAACAGCGAGCAAAAGTACGTGTTAACGAACAGCTGTTAGAAAAAATTGAAATTAGACGTGGAGGAGACAGATATGCGTATTGTCACCAATTCTTTTTAATGTCTACTCCGAAGAGATCCTTAAACAAGGAATAAAGGTAAATGGAGTTCCCATTAACAACATTAGATATGCGGATGATACAGCGATCTTAGCCGAAAATATTTAAGATCTTCAGAGACTCGTGACTAGAATAGCGGAGTATGGAAAAGAGTACGGTCTAACAATGAACGTCAAGAAGACGAAATTACGAGAAAAATAAAGAAATAACAAGAATCTTCTAATAAACGGAACCAACGTCGAACAAGTGGACAAATATGCATATCTGGAAACAATGATTAACTCCACAAATTATTACATTCAGGAGATCAAAATCAGAATAGAAAGGGCTAGAGCAAATTTCAACAAAATGAGAAGGGTGCTATGTACAATGATCTTTAAATCGAAACTAAGAGTTAGGTTGGCGAGGTGCTATGTTTTTTGACTTTGTTTTATGGAATGGAATCTTGGACCTTGAATGCGACATCAATGAAAAACTGGAATCATTCGAGCTGTGTGTGTATAGAAGAATTCTGAAAATATCGTCAACAGACAGGTCACAAACAAAGAGGTTCTGAGAAGGATGAATAAAGAAATAGAAAATTTAAATACAATTACAACAAATAAATTGGAATATCTTGGACGTATTACACGTGGAGAGAAATACACCTTGCTCTAACTGATTATGCAGGGACAGATCCAAAGAAAGAGAAGCATAAGGAGTGGTAGAATGTCATGCCAGCGCAACAAGAGAGAGTGGTAAGGATGTACATCAATAGGGAGTAAATGGTAACAACACCGGAGCACAAATGTGTCCCGCACCTGTTCCGCTCTGCTTTTTCACGCAGATGTTTTGCGCACCTGTTCTGCACAACTTTTTCACGTGAGCTGTTGCGGCCACACATATTTCGCGCTACTGTTGGCAAGCTGATCTCTTAGCCGTTTGTGCACAACTGTTCCTTATCATGGTACAATGAATACATGAATGAGTACTTGTATTCATTGTACCATGGTTCCTCATTATATAACCAATTTTATGTAAAATTGATGATATAAATATGTAGCTTGAGTTAGTTTTATCAGTTCGTTGTCGAAAATCATTATGTTACTAGCTAAGAAAAATAATAAAATTATTAGAATTGGAATTGGAATAACTAGAATTCGAGTGTAAAGAGAGTAATGACAAAATTGAACAGGAAATGTATAAACTTGATCAATGTGCAGTTGAAGAAACAGTCACACCATAGCAGACGAATCTTTATGAAAGTCACGAACATCTAATAAATGATGAAGATATGAATAATTCCATGGCTGATAGAACTATCTGCCAATCAACAAATCAGACGTATGAGAGAAAACTAAAACTTATAATAAAAAAACTCTTGAAAGGGAACTGTGAGATATTTTCTGAGAAACTTTGCTTTAAGATCAAATTGCAGAATAAGCTAGAGTTGCGTAAGCTAGAACAAAACCAAGCGAAGGTTGTGTTAGAAGAAAAAAGTTCCAAAAGACGGAAAATTTAGAAAGCGTTAGAAACTTTTAATTTCAAAATTGATTCTCTAAACAAAGTAACAAATATTTTTCATAATTTTAAAATATATTGGTTTTTGTTTCTTCTTAGCTAGTGAAATGATGCCAACTGCTTTTGAATAACAACTCTATTATACAATAATGTAATCAATAAACAGTTTTCTCAGTGTATTATTATATATATTTTTAAATATTGATGAATTTTAATATCGGCCTGCAAAAGTCCATAAGCTTAATAAAAACTACATAGTTATTTTGCAAACTTTATATTTCCATCTGCCTATATTATTCAGATAGTCAATATCACTTTTACAAAAGTTATTTTGCACCTTTAAAAATACAAACACTTTCTTGAATTAAAATCATGTATTAAGTTCCATCTCCCAACTTATCTCGACCACTCGAGCTCTTGCTTTTTTATTATCAATAAACTTTTTCTGTGTAATTTAGATACTAGAAAATTTCTTTTGGTTGTAAAGTACAAATAGGACTCCTTATAAGTGTAGTGTAACTTATTATTTAAAAATTCTCAAGTTTTTTGGAGGTAATCCTCTTTATACATTGCAACAGTTACGTTACCTTTGTCGCTTTTGACAATCTAAATTTCTGGATGGTTCTCTAGGAAAAGTTTAGTTTGTACATAGTATTTATTTAAAAAATGATCTTTGACTTCTTTATGTAAACAGTTGGTAATAACGTTTGTACATTTAGATCTAACAAAATTCTTTTAACCATCATTAAGTGGTCTGATTATTGATTTAATATCAGAAAGTAAAGTTGGAGCTCTAATATCTGATTTATAAGGACATACAGAAAATTTAGGTCCTAGTGCTAAAAATTTTTTAATTTCAAAAGGAAATGAATAGATGTTAGATTTTTAAACCATTTTTCTTGAAATTGTATCTTATAAAAAGCTTTCATTTTTAATTTATTAAACTTTAATTTGTATTCTTTTGATTTTATAAAATTCTGTATTATATTTAATTCTCTGTCTACGATTAAATTCATTAAATGTATGAAAATTTAAGACATTATAAGCTTTGGTACGGAACTCATGTAATTCTTTTTAAAAAAAGTCAATATCAGCAAAAGTGATTTTAATCTCTAAATTAATAATATTTCCTCCAAACCTGTCACACAATTTCCAAACATCATGATGAATATTCCCAGTGCGATGATGTAAAAGGGAATTAACATTAACAAGGCCATTTGTAACATATCCAGGAAAACATCCATTAGATCTACATTTTAATAAAAATGTCTTCTGGCTGCGTAAAGCAGCAAGTTAAAAAAGTACCATTCCGATGTAAATAAGAATGATCCTGAAGCATCTAAAAAGTTTCAAGACGTTTCTAATCAAAGGACGCATGGGTGGAGGAGGAGGCCATTCAAAAGTTCCACAAGGATTCAGTCAGCAGTGGCAATATCAATCAACAATTGATCCAGAACCATTGTTTAGGACAATTTTCGGAGATGCTTTTATCAAAGGCTCTTCTCATTTTGAAGTTTTTACAGAATCAAATTATGGATTTGGTGAAGCTCAAACAATTCTCCTCAGAATAACTTTCACTCAAGCAGCCAGAGGTACCACTAAGGTTGTAAACATAAACGTAGTAGACAATTGTCCAAGATGTAGAGGATCAAGATACGAATCGGGTATCCAAGCTACAAAATGCCAATTTTGTAATGGTACTGGAATGCAAAGTATTACTATTGGCTTCTTCGTCATAAGATCCACGTGTAGATATTGTCAAGATTCCCGAATGTATATTAAGCATAAATGTACGAAATGTAAGGGATAAGGTTCCATCGTACAAAGGAGAAAAGTTAGCATTCCAGTGCCAGCAGGTATCGAAGATGGTCAAACGGTTCGAATGTCTGTAGGAAATACGGAACTATTTGTGACGTTTGGGGTAGATAAATCAGACTATTTCAAGAGAGATGGTTCAGATGTTCATACTGAGGCAGATATTTCATTAGCACAGGCTCTTTTACGTGGTACAATTAGAATCCAAGGATTATATGAGGATTATATTCAGGTAATGCCAGGAACATCCTCCCATACTAAAATTCGTCTAAGCGGACAAGGAATGAAGAAAATTAATGGTTATGGACATGGGCATCATTACGTAATATTAAAAATTAAAGCTCCGAAACATTTAAATGAAAAGCAGAAAGCATTGGCGATGACATATGCTGAATTAGAACAAGATACACCTGGCCAAATCCTTGGAATCACTGTTAAGAAAGATGAGGCGCGATTTGCGGGATCTGAGGAACAATCACAAGCGAAACAATTTGAAGAAGCCCCAGGTTTTCTTAATAAAATCAAAAAAGCAATTTTTGGTTAGGCTTAGTTTGGAAGTTTTAGAACATTTTAAATTGTTAAAATTATTATAAATAGTGTCCATAACCATTAATGAAACGAAATATTACCAATCCTATACCACTTTGTACTGGATGACTTAATTGAAAGCTATATTAGGAAGTTACCATTTAATGACCCATTTTTAAAGAGATACATGAACGATTTAATTCTTGCACTCCCAAAAGACAAAATAATGGACACACTACACATATTTAACAGTCACTGTCCAGACTTCCAATTTACAGTAGAATAAAAAACAACAACTGCATACCATTTCTAGATATGATGTTACACCGTGATTCCAACAACGTTCTAAAAACAGAATGGTATAGAAAACCAATATGTAGCAGCAGGTTTATTAATTACTTTTTAGTACACCCATCTAAGATGAAGACCAACCTAGTATTAAATATGAAAAGTAGGGTTATAACTTTATCACATCCTGAATATAAAACAGCCGGTGTTCAAAACTAAAAACGATCATATTAGAGAATTTCTTCCCAACAAACCTTCTAAATACATTTATTTTTGGTGTCTCACAAGTCATAAGGCCAAATCAAACAGAAGTTTCAACAAACAAGAAAAACACATTGTACCACTCTTAATGTACCAAAGACAAAAACAATATCGAAATTGTACACCAAACTTAAAACACCCTTAAATGATAAAGAAAGCTCCAATGTAGTGTACTCTCTGCCCTGTAATCATTGCAATAGAATATATATTGGTAAAACGTCTAGAAATTTGTCCGGAAGATTAACATCGCACAAGAGTGATATTAATCTGAATAAAGTACAAGCCTGTGCATTAAGTGAACATTCTATTATGATGGGCCACACGCCTAACTATGATCAAGCAGAAATTTTGAGAAGGGAAAGAAATTACAACAAAAGACTGTTTCTAGAAATGTGTTTAAATAAAACTACGCAAAACACCTTAACAAAAGAGAAGACAGTAAAGATCTTAGTGCTATATACAGTAATCTTCTTTTAAAGAAAAGAACAACAACGATATAAAAGTTCTTTAAAAGTTACACAGATTAAAGGGATTATTTCAAATTCAAATGAGATAAAATTTATTTTTATTTGTGTTTGGTTTTTTTTCTTCTTAATTACTTAGTATGTTGCAAACTCTGTTGCTTGTTTAATAAGTGCAAACGAAACATTTTAAAACCATAGTAACAAGTTTTGACAGAAAGAAAAAGAAAATCAAATTAATAGTAAAATCAAAGTAATTTTGCTAATTTTATAATACAATCCACACAAGGGTAAGCCTGTTGAATATATAACAACTTTATCATTCTAATGTAGTTTTTTATTTTAATTTTTAGTATGTTTTGAAAAAGAGTTAAATAAACTCGAAAGCTCAGAAAACCTTAAAGAGAGTTTTACTTAAAGGCCAGTATTGAGTACAAGACCCAAAATATACGTATACAGTAATAATCGCGTAGTCACTAAAGCCCTTTGTAAGAAAAAAAGAACATATATATATATATATATATATATATATATACAGGGTGAGTCATGAGGAACTTTACATACTTCTACCATATGTAGAGTCCCTCAGGGAGCATATCATGTGGCCATTAAAAAATGTCAACTCCTCTTTATTAATTAACAGGGTGATTTGTGTAATTGACCATTTATTTCATTTTACTGTAGTGTTTATACGACTCATTTGATTTTTTTAATTTTTGCATGATACAGTACACTACTATCAAGCATTCGACTGGTATTAGCTAAACTATTTCAGGACTGGCTTTGGAAAAATTAATTTAGGGATTCGTATTAAATATTACACCCTGTATATATATATATATATATATATATATATATATATATATATATTTAAATGCAATACCTAAGTGATTTTCAAACTACATAAATAGCCAATGAAAACGACATATGCGACAATGTTGTCGCACTTTTATTAAATTTTTAGTGAACGATCAAATCTTACCAAAAATAGAACAACCATAATGAAGTATCAAATTATAAGGTATTAATTTAAACAAATGTTATAAATTTCAAACATTTTAATTAAAATGAGTTCCTACAACATAATCTAATACGTAGAAAATTAACATCTTTACTGTTACTTTGTATTATCTTTACGATAGAATCAATTGTTTTTTAGTTTTAAATTTTTACTCATAGATCTTATTGGGGTATTATTTTCGATAAATAATAAATTAAATTGATTAAAAAGTCAAACCTCTTGTATGTGTTAGTTTTTGTTGATTGTAAATGATTAAAATTTTATGTCAAATAATAATACATTGCATCAACTGTACTAAATAAAAATAAATCTAAAAAAGTTTAAAATGAAGGTTGGCGTGACCGTTTGAAGTTTCTTGATATTTTACACCCATTGTCATTATTGTCATTATCAATTGTTATTTATGTGTACAAGAATACATATTTCTTCTGTCATATCTACGTTAAGTACATTGTGTTAGTTTTGGTAGAGCTTTTGTTACTTTCGTTCAAAATGCCACATCAGTTTTCGACCACAGAATATGCAGACATAATATTTGTTTATGGATTCTGTAATGGGAATGGTAGGGCTGCTAGTAGAAAATATCGCAGGAGATTTCCTAATCGTCGAACTCCCAGTCATCCAACATTTGGGTCAGTTTTTAATTATTTGCGAGAAAATGGCACTTTTCCTAGTGGAACAACAGAGCGACATGTAGATGAAGCGCAGGAAGATGACCTTATGGACGCCGTTACTATGAACCCTACAATAAGCACTAGACAAGTAAGTGAAGAACTGAATGTTACTCAATCAAAAGTAAGTAGAGTCTCTCTACTAGAGAGTGGAGATGAGATCGATAGGTTGGAATTTTGTAGATGGATTAACAATAATCGACCAACACTATACAGGACACTATTTACAGATGAAGCCCAATTTACCAGAGACGGGATAAATAATTCACGAAATTCACATGTGTGGGCAGAAGAAAATCCCCATGCTATTCGAGAACGTCGTTCTCAGTTAAGGTTTTCGGTTAACGTGTGGATTGTTGTCATAAATAACCAATTAGTATGTCCTCACTTTTTTGATTGTCCTTTAACAGGGCAGGTCTATTTGAACTTTCTACAAAATATTTGCCGAATTTGCTTGCCAACGCGAATGTTGCTATCCGAGGGATGTATTTTCAGCATGATGGGGCACCCCCACACTTTTTACTGGCAGTGAGACAACATATCAATAATGTTTATGGCAACAGGTGGATAGGACGTGCAGGTCCTATTTCGTGGCCTTTAAGATCCCCTGATTTCAATCCCGTTGATTACCATATTTGGGGACGATTAAAGCAACTAGTTTACGCAGTGAATATTAATAACCGACAACAAATAATTGATAGAATTATACATTGTTGTAATACTATTAGAAACAATCCCCACAGTATCCGTAATTCAATACGTCAATTAACAATTCGGCAACAAAAATGTGTAGAGGCTGCAGGGTTCCATTTCGAAAATCTATTTTGAATTATTTTTATTTTGTTACCATTATTGTATCTTTTCCAGTTCTAATTTATGGGTTTATCATAACTATGTACATATTTTTAGTTTTTTTTTTAAATTGTTCTTCGTTATTGTTAGTAGTTACTGTTTTTTGTTGTGCAGTGACTCAGTTTATCATTTCAATTAAAATGTTTGAAATTTATAACATTTGTTTAAATTAATTACCTTATAATTTGATACTTCATTATGGTTGTTCTATTTTTGGTAAGATTTGATCGTTCACTAAAAATTTAATAAAAGTGCAATAACATTGTCGCATATGTCGTTTTCATTGGCTATTTATGTAGTTTGAAAATCACTTATTGCATTAAAAAAATATATATATACAGGGTGTAATATTTAATACGAATCCCTAAATTAATTTTTCCAAAGCCAGTCCCGGAATTTTTTAGTTTAGCTAATACCAGTCGAATGCTTGATAGTAGTGTACTGTATCATGCAATAATTAAAAAATCAAATGAGCCGTATAAACACTGCAGTAAAATGAAATAAATGGTCAATTACACAAATCACCCTGTTAATTAATAAAGAAGAGGAGTTGACATTTTTTAGTGGCCACATGATATGCTCCCTGAGGGACTCTACATATGGTAGACGTATGTAAAGTTCCTCATGACTCACCCTGTATATATATATATATACATATATATATATATATATATATATATATATATATATATATATATATATATATACATATATATGTATATTAGGCCTGAAAGGCCTGAGTCTGTCTTCGGTTCTGGGAGAAAAGACAGCCATTTATACTTTCTAGTGCATAATATACCGTACCCTATGAATATACACTCAGGTGCAAAAAATTCGATTTACTATTGCAACTCCTTACTTTACTTGGAAACACTTGTATCTGAATATAAAAATTGTTGAATTTTTTATATTA